TGACCTGGTTCCTCCAAATCTCTGGTCTGGTGAAAAAAGCTCAGCAACTGTAAACATTCTGCAGTTTGTTCTTCCTCCAGAGATCAAACCGACCAGCAGCATCTCCGCCTGGTTTGGACCATCGAACGCTCTGACTGCCAATCATTTTGAAATCGCCTCACGCCAACAAGTATCACTGTATTGGTATGAAAGTCAGTCGTGACATCACACTGAATGCCTGCTTCTGAAATGTTTCTGAAATTTTTCTAGGCTGATAGTTTCTGTCCAGGTGCTTCAGAGCCAAATCATGTGTCAATGACACGCTCAGCCATTTATTTTCATACTTTTCTGAACAATTTCAAGCTCAGCGCACAGCATCTCTCTGTCTTCGCTGTTATTACTGAGTGAACTACAGATATGAATTGCGTTCGTATCGGAGACAACAAATCGCCTGTCATACGCTGCAAACGGTTTTCTGATGCGTATCACGGTTCCCTAACGAGACAGTTTGAATTCTGCTCCCTGTGTCTCACTGACATGACAGTTGAGCTGCTCTTTACAATGAGCAGCAATGAGAAGAACTACAACATGGCCGAAAGGTCAGTGACTAGTGACTATTACTGATTTAACCAACCACTGTTGCACATCGGATGTGTGGCCATTTAAAATTGACCTAAAAATCTTTAGCTATTTTTCTTACCTGTTAGCCATGTTTAGGACACTGAATGTAGCAAGTCAATGTAAGACAATATGCTAGTGACAGCATTTAGGCTAAAATTAGCATTATGGCTTATTTAGCTCAATTAGCCTATACACTAACTTTAGACACATACTGAAACCTTGTTAGTCAACATGGTTTTGATTCTCCACATGCTATTGACTATACTTTTGCTAAGCTTAGCATTGATGCTAAACGACAGGCACACTTTGGCAGGCCCCATTTAAACTTCTTCAGAAATTTTCTAGTTTTTCCTTGTATTTTACAACAACTTCCTTTTGTTATGGATGGATGTTTTATCTTTCTTCTACTTAATTATTGTATTTAAAAAAAAATATCTGTCTTGCCTTAATTCTTCATCAGACTGTTTCCTTCCCACTGCCGCCATTTTGTTTCCATCCCACAAACGTTGGTAGGCTTCTTCTTCTGCTGGGTTCAACAGGCAGCCTGTTGATTAGTTTGAGATCTGCTGCCTCCTGGTGGCCAGAGGCCTGTTTACAGTGAAGTTCTGAGTATCGTTCCAGAAGTATTCATACCCCCAAACCTTTGGTCATAAAACTCACGAGGGTTTTCAGAGATTCTCACTTGAAATATTTAGCATAAAACTCCTGATACTTGTAAATGAAATGAAGTCACCAAAGCAGTAGCAGAGTTCTGAGCCACGAGGGAATCACAGCGGACATGTTGAAGGCTCACCGGTCAGAGGAGACCAACCTTCAAACCTCAACATGTTTCTGCTCCAGTAAAGGGCGCTGATGTTTCAGGAGCTTCGACATCATCATCATCATCATCATCATCATCATCAGGATTGTTATTCTTGTCTGCTGTGGTTTGACCTGCAGACTGCTGAGGAGATCATGCAGCAGAACAGCAGCTGTCTGCGGCTCCAGATGGTGTGTGACCCTTTGCTAAAAGAGAAAGTAGGTGATTTCTGATGTAAGTCGTTTCTCCAGATAAAAGTTTTAATAGAAGAATGCTAAAGCTGTTTTTGTGTGAATGCCTCGTTCTTCCCAGAGCTTTGGGGTCGCAGAAGGCGGACCGGTTGAGGACCTCAGAGCGATGGCCAGGGCGGCGGGGAACCGGTCCAGGATTTCACCCCTCCAGAGGGTGAGACTGCACATCAGGTCAGGAAGCTGTTAGTCATTCACCGACTGACCACTAGGTGGCAGCAGACTCCCACACGTTTTTACAGTGGGGGGCGGGGTTGTGACGTAACGGACCCCAATAAACAGTCGCTGTTAGCTCTGGTTAAGGCGGTGTGTGTGTGAGTGTGTGTGTGTGTGTGTGTGTGTGTGTGTGTGTGTGTGTGTGTGTGTGTGTGTGTGGATGTGTGTGTGGTGTGTGTGTGTGTGTGTGTGTGTGTGTGTGCGTGCGTGTGTGTGTGTGTGTGTGTGTGTGTGTGTGTGTGTGTGTGTGTGTATGTGTGTGTGTATGTGTGTGCGTGCGTGTGTGTGTGTGTGTGTGTGTGTGGTGTGTGTGTGTGTGTGTAGGTGTGGGTGTGTGTGTGGATGTGTGTGTAGGTGTGTGTGGATGTGTGTGTAGGTGTGTGTGGGTGTGGGTGGATGTGTGTGTGTCATTTCCAACTAATTTTCCAGATCCTTTCCACCACGTTATGATGATGATGATGATGATGATGATGATGATGATGGCTATTGGTCTTCATCATTTCTGAAGTTATACATCTAAAGTTAATATCAATAATTTCGGTGCTTTAAGAGAAAAATGTGGGGATTCTTACAATATCATATTTTCACCCTGTTATCATTCCTATATAAATGTCACAGTTTCAAACTAAATACTTAGTTTGCTAGCAAATAATTATCTCCATTAATATTTAGTTGGCAAGCTAAATATTTAGCTTGAGACTATTAGCATTTTCACTAAATATTTAGTTTGAAGGTAACTCTTTAGCTTGCTAAGTAAATAAATTTATCAATCAATGAATGACGGGGTGAAAATGTGAGTGAAAAATGCCTCATTTTGCTCTGATGACAGGATGAATAATCCAGATTTTGGCTCCTCCAGGTGAAGCTGCGGGTCCAGCAGTTCATGGAGAAAATGCTGCAGCAGATCGGGGCAGAGCACTGGCCTGCAGGGGGCGCTGATGTATCCTCTGCTGACGACACAGGGCCCACCACGCCCACGCTCTGGTTGTCTCCCATGGCGCCTTCATGTGCGTGGCGGTGCGTTACTTCGTGGAGGAGCTGCGGTGCAGCGCCCCTGCAGGCTGCGACAGGAAGCGCATGTTCTCGCTGAGCCCCAACGCGGGGATCTGCAGGTTCAACCTGACGGTGGTCCAGCAGGGGCGCGCTTTGTGGTGTCGGACATGCGCTGCGTGTTCATGCACAGGGTGGCAGGGGCAGAGCAGGATGAATAACCTGCTCATGATTTATTGATACATTTATTTTAGAGAAGGAAACAATCATTGTCCGCAAAGATGATGATGGCACAATGTTTAGTTTTATCATAAACTCAAAAAAAGACATGAAACACAAATATTAATATTTGATCATTATTTATAATCAAGGGTGAAAATAAATTGACTGAATCATGTATTTCATTAGCATGCTTCATAAATCCAGACAAACTGTGACGTAAAATAGTTTTGGTTCATATTTTCAGTGCTTCAAAACTATTTCTCCTGCTGTTTTTAGCTTTTAATTAGTAAATAAGTTTATTTTGTAAACAAAAATGAAAAAAACAAAACATTATAAATGATACTAAAATCTTTGTCACATGTAAGAATGATCATAGTAATGATAATATTATAAGAAGAATTAATGAAAAGCTTCATAATATCAAGTTGAGTTTCTTTAATGAGTGGAAACAGTCAATAAAATTAATAAAGTCTGTTTTTATGGAGTTTCATATCATATTTCAGAATGAAACAAATGAAACTGTCATGCTGTGGCGGTGGACCCAAACGCAGCAGACAGTAAACGGAGAAACAAGAGCATGTTTGAATGAAGAAAATCAACCAACAAAAAATCCAAAATCCCCAAACAAAGAAAGTGGGAACACGAGGGAACAGCAGCTGATCCAGGGAGGGAACATGGTGGAGACGATCAGGTGACGAGACGGACCGGCGAGTTGTGACTGGGATACAGGAGCTTAAATACTGGGAGGCAGTAAACGGAACAATGGGCCCAACGAGATGAGATAACTGGCTGACGAGATGTATGGGGAAAAACAGCAGGGAGCTGAAAATACATTTAAAACCAAAGAAAACACTAATACTACAGAAAACCTGGTAAACTCAAAGAGACATAACCAGACAGAAGGCTGGACTGTCAATAATAAGATCTACAAGATGTAGAGTTATGGAAACGAGAAGATCTGAACAAAGAGATAACCTAAGGAGAATTACTAAAGAAAGACAAAATAAACCTAAAGTGACAAATAATGGAAACACTATGAGGGGAACTAGAAGGATTAAATAAAAATAAAGAAGCTCGACATGGACTCAGACAAGAAAAACAGAAACTAACTGTTTCTGTTAGTTTCCCCTAAGAAGAAACTCTATGAAGGGCTGCAGACAAGGACAAGGAAATTCCAACCACCCTAAATAACATCAAATAATCAAACTGAAATGACCACAAAGGGCGAAGCTACAGAAACTAAAACACAATGAGAAACAAAACCAAACCCAGACAGAAACTTCATGTCACAGAGCAGAAACTTTAGTTTTTAGGTTCCACAGTTTGTGATGCAGAAGAGCTTCATCATCATCATCATTATCATCACTATCGTCATTATCTTCATCATTATCACTATCATCATCATCATCAACACTATCATCATCATTATCATCATCATTATCACTATCATCATCATCAACACTATCATCATTATCTTCATCATTATCACTATCATCATCATCAACACTATCATCATCATTATCATCATTATAATCATCATTATCACTATCATCATCATCAACACTATCATCATTATCTTCATCATTATCACTATCATCATCATCAACACTATCATCATCATTATCATCATTATAATCATCATTATCACTATCATCATCATCAACACTATCATCATTATCTTCATCATTATCACTATCATCATCATCAACACTATCATCATCATTATCATCATTATCTTCATCATTATCACTATCATCATCATCAACACTATCATCATTATCTTCATCATTATCACTATCATCATCATCAACACTATCATCATCATTATCATCATCATTATCACTATCATCATCATCATCAACACTATCATCATTATCTTCATCATTATCACTATCATCATCATCAACACTATCATCATCATTATCATCATTATCTTCATCATTATCACTATCATCATCAACACTATCATCATCATTATAATCATCATTATCACTATCATCATCATCAACACTATCATCATTATCTTCATCATTATCACTATCATCATCATCAACACTATCATCATCATTATAATCATCATTATCACTATCATCATCATCAACACTATCATCATCATTATCATCATTATCTTCATCATTATCACTATCATCATCAACACTATCATCATCATTATAATCATCATTATCACTATCATCATCATCAACACTATCATCATTATCTCATCATTATCACTATCATCATCATCAACACTATCATCATCATTATCATCATTATCTTCATCATTATCACTATCATCATCAACACTATCATCATCATTATCATCATCATTATCACTATCATCATCAACAACACTATCATCATCATTATCTTCACTATCGTCATCATCATCTTCACCTTCACTATCATCATCATCACTATATCACTATTATCATCATTATCATCATCGCCACCATCATCATCACTGTGTGACTTACTGTAACTGTGGAGCATAAACAACTTTTCTTTCCATATTAATAAAGTGGAAAGTTTTTGCTCTTTTTAGGAATCAGTGACTCAACGTCTCATTCAGCAGTTAAACTGTGTGTGTGTGTGTGTGTGTGTGTGTGTGTGTGTGTGTGTGTGTGTGTGTGTGTTGATCTTGTTTCTGTGTGTTGAACCTTAGCTTTATTTTTTTTATAAACGCTAAAACTATTAAAAATGGATATTTAAAGTGATACTTTATGTCTGTGGAGATGTTTGTGCTTCATTTGGACCCAATTTGACCCAGTTGGTCTCATGCCAGTTACATAACAAGCTGAGTGTTTAATTACCCTGAAATGCATCATTACAGATGAGGTGGAAAACGTTCAGAAAAATTTAATAAAGACGATGAATACAGTAAAATATTAATCATCCCATACAAAGAAACATCAAAAGCTATCAAGTGCTGGAAATGAAGTTGTCGGAGCTGGTTTAGGGTTTGTGAACAGATCTGGTCCAGATCTGTGGAGAGTAGATGTTGTTTGCTTGAATCTATTTTTACCAAATAACATCACAGGTTTGATTTTCCCAGTTTTCAGTATAAAACTTATTCACTTCCTCCAGTACTTTTACAGATCAATCATGAACAGCAGGATTTGTTTTTTTCTCCTTCCTTTGACACTAAAAGGTTGAATTTACATTGTTTTCCAAAGTGAAAACCGATTTTCACAAAATTACAAGTAAAATATTTCAAATGAAATCAGTGATTTGGTCAACTGTTGGTGGCTGACCTCATTCATCAGAGGTCCAGCTAACTGGTGACCTCCCAGTGACCCACTCAGCCTGGGAGTCTCTAGCACAGCAGAAAGGTTTCTCTCTGTGCAGCACAGAGTATTTATCTTTGGTTTGTTCACTTTTCTCCATCACCTGTAACTTTTTTTAACTATTACATCACAGTATTTGCTGTAGAACTAAACAAGGTCATGGACCTTCAGCTAATCAGGTTCAGGAATCCACCATTTTTATTTCTCACAGTGATATTGAAGGCTGATGCTGCAGTCAGACTGAGTGTTGCTGGGTGTGTTAACACACACAGCTCATCACAGTCTGGTTACATTTGTTTGCATGGGAAATATTTCCACATCAACTTTCTTAGCATGAAGCTCCTCAAGGACCAAAGCTTCAGAGACCTCCGTTAGCATCAAGACTTGGTTCCTCCTGTCTGTGCGACCATCACAGCGAAATGCTAAGCTGCTACTAACGCTGACATGGCAACAAACTACCACAGACATGCATTAGTTCTGTTGATAACCTTGTTTTTAGCCTCCTGCTAATGTTAGCACTGTGTGCTAGCTGTTAGCTAGAGAACAGAACCTCACGCCGAGATTTGAAAAGTTCTTAGCTAAACAGCTGGGATAGTTTTGGTGCTGGGGAACACATGATCCAGATGAATTCAGAACTTCTTGGCGCTAGCGTTAGCTAGCCTGCTAACCATGCTGAGGTTTCCAGGCGTGTTCGTTGGCGTTGACATGTCAGGCTGGATGGACGAGTCTCCTGCTGGTCACAAACGTTTCTGCACCGTCAGGTGATCACATCTCTGCTATCAAACTACAACAATGGCCGAACAGCAGGGGGCGGGGTCTGAACGACCTCATTTGGATTTAAAGAGAGGCATCAAAACGAGCTGCTCTCAGATGAACCTGGGGTCAGAGGTCAACGAGGAATCTGAGGACCTATAAGAACCAGGAAGTCAGCTTTAAATAGACCATAAAGGACTGGAAAGGAACATCTGTTCACGTTAAAGAATTTTTTTGTGAACATTTTTTGTCACAAAAGCTTAAATGAGTTGATTATGATTGATTTGTAAAAGCAATAAAAGGGTAAAACATTCAAGGGGTTGAATACATTCAGTAAACTGCACTATCTGCAACTTTTCAGGAGCAACGCAACTAAAATATTTGCAGTTGTGGACGGAGTCTGGAGGCGTGAAAAAGGTGAAACTCCCGCAGCGATCCTGGTCAGATTGAAGAAGCTAAAGAACGTTTTTGGTTTCATGCATTTTTTCTACTTTTTATTTTCTATCAGAAATATATAAATAAAAAACAGTACACAATAAAAGAAGTTATGTTACAGATCTCAATAAATAAATATCTTCATTGCTGAGACTTGGTGTCCAGCACCGGATCATTTCTCTTTCCTGTTCTATCATTCATGTCTCTTTTTAGTGAGAATATTTTTGAAAGAAAGTTTCTGAACATATGTGAAGAAAGGGTTGCATCATCTGGCCCAAAGATTAAAATTTAACAGACAAAGAGGTTAAAGGTCAGCAGGCGCAGCTTCTCCCTCATTTGCTGTTCAAACAGAGGCGCTGAAGCCGCAGTGATCAGATGAAACCTCAGATAGTGTCTGATCGGAGCGCAGTGGGCCGGCGCCGCGGGCAGGAAGCCGCGGGCAGGAAGCCGCGGGCAGGAAGCCGCGGACAGGAAGCCGCGGGCAGGAAGCCGCGGGCAGGAAGCCGCGGACAGGAAGCCGAGGGCAGGAAGCCGCGGGCAGGAAGCCGCGGGCAGGAAGCCGCGGGCAGGAAGCCGCGGACAGGAAGCCGCGGGCAGGAAGCCGCGGACAGGAAGCCGAGGGCAGGAAGCCGCGGGCAGGAAGCCGCGGGCAGGAAGCCGCGGACAGGAAGCCGGTCCCACTTGGTCTCTGCGTGTTGCCTGTTGCTCTGCGGCGTCAGACTTTCTTCCTGTTGCTTCCTGAGAACCTGACGTCACTCCTGCTCTGCTCGCTCTGCGATGTTCGTCTTGACTGGACTGCCGTGTCCGTTAGGCCTCAGCACCCGCAGCGGGTCGTCACAGGAAGTGATGGTTTCCTTGGAAACGGCCCCCGCCTGGTTCGGCTCCACATCCTTCACCGGAGGAGACGGATGGGACTCTGTCCTCAGAGGATCGGACGGGTTCACCTCCTCGCTCCTCTGCCTCTTCACTAACTGGCCGTCTGGTGGCCCACCGCGGACCGCTCCTGGCCTGCCAACCCCCAGTTTGACCAACCAGCTCCTGCTCACAGAGGAAAACAGATCATGGCGCTCACCCGGCCTGAACCAAATATGTTGGAAGAGGCAGTGTCCTCTGTCCTTCTGTCTCTGTCATGGAGACAAACAGACATGTTTACTGGGATCTGCTCTGTTAAGGTGGATCTGTTAAGGTGGATCTGGAAGACACTCACAGACTTGAAGAGTTGTCCCTTTATGTCCACACAGAGGAAGCGTCTCTGTCTCAAGTCAAAGATCAGCACCCAGCTGCCGGGTGCTGCAGCTCCCGGCAGAACGACTGAGAAATGATTCAATAACATCAAATAATTCAGAAAAATAACAATTACCAGAAATTTGTTAGTTTAGAAGTCATGAAAATCCAACAGACTCTGAAATCCCTTCAGAAAGATTAAGGTTTGTCTGACATTGTAAAAAATATGTTTGTTTTTCCAAACATATAGCAAGAAAACTGAACATTTTGTGGAGGAAAACGTTGTGAATCCTGAAGATGCCTCAGTTTGGATCTGTTGGAGATCCTGGGCAGTGATGAGGAGGATCATGGAGTCAGGACAGACTCACCCAGGTGAGGAGCGTTTGTTCTCAGATCCAGGCGGAGGCGACCCGGACCGGCGGGCCGCGGCCTCCGCGCCGCCCGCCTGCGGCCGCCGCAGCCTCGCTCTGCTCTCCGCTCGGCCGCAAACATGCAACACAATCAGGAAGAGCGCGAGGGAAGCCAGCTGCATGGTTCCTCTCCAAAAGCTCAAATGTTCGGGATGTGAGAGAGCAGCTTCTGGTGGAGGAGAAAGTCCAACAGGCTTATTTAAACGAGGGTCAATAAACCGGCTAACTCATTTACCAAAATACCTCAGAGCCTCGCTGCCCCTGCTGCAGCTGCCCCCTGCTGCTGCTGCGGCTGACCCTGCTGCTGCAGCTGCCTCCTGGTGCTGCAGCTGCCTCCAGGTGCTGCAGCTGCCACCTGGTGCTGCAGCTGCCCCCTCCTGCTGCCAGTATATCTGCATTTATTAATTGAAAAATAAACATTTTATAGCATTTATTTGTTTTTTTAGGACTTTTTTGCATGAAATGAGATTAATTCATTAGTGCCTGAAATGAATGTAAGAGGTTCTAGTCTATATTAATGTTTCTCTGGAAGGAGCCGGGTCAGAACCAGAACCATCGCCCCATGCTGAGTCACAGCATCAATGATTCATCCCCTGCTTATGAATTAACTGGACACACTTCCGCTGCTCCCACGCCGTTGCACAACGAAGGATGAGCTGTAACTCATTTTGTCTTTCGGTGACCTGCTGACCTCAGCTATAAAACAAAATGATCCTGAGCAAAATTTAATCCCCTGTGAATTATGTTTCCAAAAGGATCAAATACAAAACCTGGCAGGAATATTCACACCTCTCAACACTTTTCCTCTTTAGTTTAGTTTATTTCATCTGGAACACATAATACCATTTTCAATTTTCAGTCTGACACCTCTAAATAAAATCCAAACCATCATCTGAACCAGGAGACAAATGAGCCAGCAGGATAAATATTTAGTTTTCTAACTTCATGTTATGATGAGCAAATGAACCCAATTATTGAAACAGCATTGGTCACATTCCATCAGGCAGGGTCGGGTCAGCCAGGCGGTTCCGAGTTCCGGTTCTGGTTCGTCTGTTGGAGCGGCCGTCCTCCTAATGCCGCGAGATCTCAAGGGATAACGTTTCACAGCTGAAATGGACATATTGCTGTTTTATTTTGTGAAAATAATATCACTAAACTGTATTTGTGTCCACCAGTAAATAGCAGCTAGTTTTAGAGAGTGTTGGTGTAACACCGGGTTCAGCTATGAAGGCCAACTGAGATTTAGGAAATCTGAAAAAGTTTGAATTATTCCCTGACACTGATTTAGATTATGCAACACAAGTGGCAAAGACTGATATTTCTATGTAATGGTTTCACTGTCGACAGTCAATTACTCTTTTTATGCACAATGCAGTTTTTCATAGAGACAACCTTAACACTTTAGTTTCAATAAAACACTTATTAGTTGATTGTTGACATTTGTTCTATTTGTTATCACGCACATTTAATTAACATATGTATTTATATCAACTTAAAGTTCATTTTAAAGTTAACTCTTTTTTTCAATTTCCTGCCCTGCAGGTACCAGATGAACAAACAGAACAAACTATTTCTGTTTGTTCAGGTTCAGTTAAGTACAAACTACGTTTTTGCACTGGTGATGTTTGATTGTTTTGTAAAAAGAAAACGGTTGGATCCTGAGTTTACTGCTTGCAAGGTGAAATAATCGCTCTGTGAAGAGCCCCGATTCCTCTGCAACCTTCACAGCAGATCCACAGGCTCCCCCAGCAGCTGCAGACGGAGAGCCTGGGTTACTTTTTACTATTAAAATGATTGAAAATATTGAGTATGATTAAAAGCTCGCTAGAGAACAGTGCGTCTCGTGTAACAGCAGGAAGTTTGTGTCAGTCCGTCACAAGGCAAGAAATCTCTTTCCATTTGTTTCTTAGTGCTTGGTTGTGAAATTTTTGACGGCCCTTCAGTGAAGCTGCAGCGTTGAGGATGGAGCTGGAGATCAGCTGGCCGACATCAGCCTCCATAAATCGGACCAACGCCGCGGATATCGGAATATCCAACGTCCGACTGGAAAACAACTTCAGTGCGGCACAACGCAGCACTGATGCAGCACTGACGCAGCACTAACGCAGCACTGACGCAGCACTGACGCAGCACTAACGCAGCACTGACGCAGCACTGACGCAGCACTGACGCAGCACTGACGCAGCACTGACGCAGCACTAACGCAGCACTGACGCAGCACTGACGCAGCACTGATGCAGCACTAACGCAGCACTGACGCAGCACTAACGCAGCACTGACGCAGCACTGACGCAGCACTAACGCAGCACTGATGCAGCACTGACAGCACTGACGCAGCACTGACGCAGCACTGATGCAGCACTAACGCAGCACTGACGCAGCACTGACGCAGCACTAACGCAGCACTGATGCAGCACTGACGCAGCACTGACGCAGCACTGATGCAGCACTAACGCAGCACTGACGCAGCACTAACGCAGCACTGACGCAGCACTAACGCAGCACTGACGCAGTACTGATGCAGCACTGACGCAGCACTAATGCAGCACTGACGCAGCACTGACGCAGCACTAACGCAGCACTGACGCAGCACTAATGCAGCACTGACGCAGCACTGACGCAGCACTAACGCAGCACTGATGCAGCACTGTCGCAGCAACACTTTGGCAGATGACGTCACCATTCCCCATCTTGATCCTAGACAAACCAAAGTTATAACTTTGAATAGTTGCACAAACGGAGCACAAACCACTCAGCTGTCAACTTCTGACATCCAATCAGAGAGCTGAGAATGATCATGAAAAGTTGTTTATTTTTACTGTAAGCTGAACGATGAGCTTCCATCCTCTGACCAGTAGGGGGCGCTCCACGCTCACCTTGAGTTTCTCCTGAGATCCAAAAATGAACCGAAACGAAACCTGGAAGAAATTTAGTGGAAAAGATTTTACAAAATAATTTTTATTTTCATCTCAGGAATACAAGTGACTGCTGTGCACAGCACAGACGTACAAAAATAAAAGGAAAACTATTTGTTATATAGTATTTGTCTCACTGATATTTCAGAAACAAACGACTGGAGAAATCTGCTTTCAAACTCATTTACAATCATTTCAACAATCGGAACTAAGGCAGAAGGTGAGGTATTAAAAACAGCGCAGGAGCGCGAGAAACTGAAACAAACCAGCTACACAGCTCTGACCTCCAGATGACCTCTAGCTGACCTCCAGATGACCTCTAGCACCCTCCAGTCCTTTAAAGCAGACTCACCAGGTCACTCAAATCTGTACTTGCATCTGGAGGTTAAAGATTTTTTTTCTGTTTCTCATCAGCGTTCTCCAGACTTTCACTCTGAAACAAACCGACAGAAGCTGCTGTTCAGAGAAAGTTAGGGGGAAGAACGACCACCTCAGCTCCTGTACAGAAACCTGCAGTCAGTGAAAACAAGAAGAATCAATAGAAATGTGCTGCACCTTCATTTGAAAATAAAGTTTAAAAAGCTACAGGCCGAAAGGTCAAAAGGTCATTCAGGATCGTCTCCATGACGACCTGGAGTCTCTGTCCTCATCATCAACTGGCTGGAAGAGCCGGATCGACTGCTACAACAAACCGACCTCATCTGCTCTCCCACAGAACCAGAACCGGGTCTGAACTCCTCTGCTACCAAACCCCTTTGTGACATCACTTCCTGTAAATCAGCCAGAATGCTGTGGGAAAGTTTCCAACCCTCCATCAAAATGCTTCACATGGTTGAAATCAGCAAACTGAGCGATCGGGTCGGAACCAGAACTCTGGAGTTTCCTGATGGATCAGGAGAAACGTGAACTGGTGTTTTTCCAAGCACCAGCAGAAACAGGTGCAGAACTGGGGGGGGGGTCAAAGGTCACGGTGAGGTGGACAGGTGGCAGGAGGGGGCAAACACAGAGCGCCCCCTGCTGGGCTCCTTCTGCTCTGAATTCAAGTAAATTATGCTGCATGAAAAAATGTGAACGTTAAACAAACCAGCAGATTGAGCTGGAAACCTCAAATATTAATCCAGGATTAATAATCCAGGATTAATATTCTGGGATTCATTTCCTGCTGCCACATATTAACAACAACATCATCAATAATAATAATAAATAAATCAGGATGAATATTAAGAACCTCAATAATCTGCTGTCAGTAACCAGAGCACTTCAAAATAAAAGCCCAGTCACACCAGGGCGGGGCGGGGGGGGGGGGGCTGTAGGTGGGGTATGGGGGCTTCCTCCCGGTGTGGATCCTCAGGAACGTCAGACCCTCCAGGAATTGGGCTCTGGCTCAGGGCGGCATGACGCCGGGGTCGCTGCTATTCCTGACTCCAGATCAGCATTTCTGGTATGTGGGGGTGAGGGGGTGAGGGGGTGAGGGGGGGGGGCAGCCTAAAGTAACCCCCGGCCCCCACGAGGAAGTCCTCTTCCTCCTCTTCCTCATGATGATGGCTGCAGTCCGGTCCAGGTTTTCAGGCCTGTCCAGATGTTTCTCACCTGGGATCATAATAATGCACATGTGCAATGGGTTTATTATTGCCACTTTCTACCCTCTCTGTGTCCTGCCTCATATCCGGGGTAAGAAGTGGGTGACTGTCATGGCGGTGGAGGCCCTGTTGCCCCTCTTGACGCGGCCATTTTGCTCAGCGCTATGAAGCAGCCGCGGTGCGCCGCAGACTCGTAGGCGTTGTAGTTGTTGGCCAGAAGACTCTCCCTGAACTTACACTCGTCATGGAAGACGGTCTGCAGGGACAGGAAGGACGAGGCAGAGGTCAGAGGTCAGAGCTCACAGGCACCATGTTCATGAGAAAAATGTCTTTCTGCAGCACAGAAAATCGATTTGGTTGTCAGCCAGTGCAGCATGCTCAATTAATTATTCAAATTAGTTTAATAAGTTTTTATGTAAGAAAACCCAGCAGACAAAACAGCATTTACTGATAATACAGATATTTTACTGATAATTATTGGTATTTATTGTGACAGACTGAGGACCCGTCCAGGTGACCCCCGCCTCTCCTCCTGACCCCACCAGGGTGTTAGAAAACGAATGGATATCGGTAATTACTGATATTTCCTGGTAATTACTGATATTTGCTGGTAATTACTGATATTTGCTAGTAATTACTGATATTTGCTGGTAATTACTGGTAATTACTAATATTTACTGGTAATTACTGATATTTGCTAGTAATTACTGATATTTGCTGGTAATTACTGATATTTGCTAGTAATTACTGATATTTGCTAGTAATTACTGATATTTACTGGTAATTACTGATATTTGCTGGTAATTACTGATATTTGCTAGTAATTACTGATATTTGTTAGTAATTACTGATATTTGCTGGTAATTACTGGTAATTACTGATATTTACTGGTAATTACTGATATTTGCTAGTAATTACTGATATTTGCCAGTAATTACTGAAATTTGCTGGTAATTACTGATATTTGCTAGTAATTACTGATATTTGCTGGTAATTACTGATATTTGCTAGTAATTACTGATATTTGTTAGTAATTACTGATATTTGCTGGTAATTACTGGTAATTACTGATATTTACTGGTAATTACTGATATTTGCTGGTAATTACTGATATTTGCTAGTAATTACTGATATTTACTGGTAATTACTGATATTTGCTGGTAATTACTGATATTTGCTAGTAATTACTGATATTTGCTGGTAATTACTGGTAATTACTAATATTTACTGGTAATTACTGATATTTGCTAGTAATTACTGATATTTGCTGGTAATTACTGATATTTGCTGGTAATTACTGGTAATTACTAATATTTACTGGTAA